GGCCACTCAGTCCATACTGCACGCATGCTGAACGCCGAACACCCTTAGTCTGTTCTTTTAACATAACATGCTTAAGTACCCTACCAAAAATGGGGACAATGGCAGAAGACCTCTATGATCGTGTGTAAGGGGCAAACAGACTTACTTTCCCTAATCCTCCAGGTATTTGGTAGACACACCTGTTATCAGACCTTCAGGGTCAAGAGTAAACACACCTGAGCCCAAGTCTGTTGTGATGGGGAAGTCCTGTGTATATGTCAATAAAGCACTGTTGGCCAATAGGGAAGCAAGATAGGTGGGACTAGAAGTCTAGGAGGATTCTGGGAAATGTATTGAACTGAGCCGTGGCCACGTGATTCCCAGGAAGAGGGGATGCAAGTCTGCGTTCTCGGAAAGATAAGTCCTTATGAAAATATATATTGGTGGTTATGGGTCAATAACAAAGTCAGAGCTAGCCAATGAGAAACAATAGCAAATGTCCAACAGCTTCATAATTAATATGGTGTCCCGTGTGTTATTTGGGGGCTTCAGACAGCTTGGCAGGGCCCAGACAGTTGGCAGGGAAAACTACACGTTACACTGTTGTTATTTAGAATAAGACAACTGCCACCAGGCTTAGTCTCAGGTATAAAGACAGTTTTGAACTCTCTGACCTTTAGTCAAAAAGGAGTGGAGCCATCGTAATGGACCCCAGCACACTGCCTAGAATACCTGGTACTGTGTAGTGAACAGGACTTGATAATATGCAGGAGAGGGTCTTACACACACACACACACACACACACACACACACACACACACACACAGAGTCTCTGTGGATGAACTTAAAATCATCTAGGGCTGGATGTGGTGACGTGTGCCTGTAATTCTAGTTGGGAGGCTGAGGCGGGAGGACAGAGTGTTTGAGGCCAGATTTGAGGCTATGCAGTAAAATCCTGTTTTTAAAAATCCCAGAGGGACCAACTGTTCAATCTTGAAACAGCAATTTGACTCTTTCAAGAAAACACAAGTCATTACTGATAGTGTCATGAGTTCTAGGTACAAATAGCACTAATTTTAATATTTAAAAAGCCTTTTGTTTTTTTGGAGACAGGGTCTCAGGGAAGCCCGGGCCCATCTCAAAGTTGTTATATTCAGGATTAAAATCGGACTCCTGATCCTCCTGCCTCTCCCTCCCGAGTTCTGGGATTATAGGATTTCACCACCACATTTGATTTAAAAATGCTAAATCATCCACGTTTTAGATCTTGGGAGATATTGTTCTGTCTACTAAAGGCTTAGAGTTTCTCTTCTCACCTCCATGACAAAATGCCTGGAGAAAGCCACCTAAGGGAGGAAGGGCTTGTTTCGGCTTCAGGTTCGAGGGATCAGCCTGTCATCGCTAAGAAGGAAGGCATAGTTGTGGGAGCCTGCTCTCATCTGAGTGGATCAAGAAACAGAGACTGGACAGGGGACAGGGAGAGACTCGAGACAGGGACTTTCTATGTAGCCCTGTCTGTCCTAGAACTTGCTCTGTAGATAGACCAGGTTGGCTTTGAACTAAGAGATCGTTTCCTCCTAAATGCTGGGATTAAAGGTGTGGGCCACCACTGCCTAGGTGATGATTTTCAGTGAGAGATATGTAGAAAGAACCCTACAATTTCTCCACACCTTCTAATCCATCTGATGGTCATAGAGATGTCTTCTAGAACTTCTAGTACAAGATAACCTCATGGGTGGGTCATTGTAATCTAGTCTGTTGTTTTAATTCAAAGCATACTTCTGTTGAAACTTTTTTTAAAACTTGCAAATCAAGGTAGTCAAGTTTCAATCATTATCAATCCAACTCCATCCCTTTCTCATAAGAAAGTGTAGTAATTGATTTGAAAAGCAAAATTCAAGACTCTGGAGATGGTTTTGCAGATGTGGGGGACATAATCTGAGCGATTGGAAAATAATAACTTCTGTTCTTTTGCAGCGCAGGAAATGGAACCTAGGACCTCATGCATGACACACAAGTGCTCTAGCCTTGAGCCACACCCCTGGGCTGAGAAAATTGGTTCTAATGGGAATTTTTCCTACACGACACACATTCAGTATCCACAATGTCAGTGTAAATCTGCAGAGAGAGTATGTCCTTTCTGCCATCAAGAAGTTTCCAGGTTTTTTGATTGATACGGTTTTAAAATCATCAAAAACGACCATAATTATTATAGCCACGTAATAAAATATAGTTAACATAGAATAGATACGTATAATGGAATGTGGAAATCTGTCACTGTAATATGCATCAGATGACCAGGAGAGAAAGTCAAACGCTATGAAAACTGACAATTGGGAGCATCTTCAGGTTCGAGGGCTGCTCTGTGCTCTGCTTGAGGGAACGTCTGCATGTACCCTCTGACAGATCTGTGCCAGGAAAGGGGGTGAACAGCAGAGAACTCGCTTTGACAAACGCTGCTCTCTGCCCAAAAGATGGAGACTTTCCCTAGAGCAGGAAGAAAGACAGTCATGCTAGGAGCAGGAGAAAGACCTGATGTTCTGGCCTGGACCCGTCCTCTGTCGGCAGCATTCTTTTTTTTTTTTTTTTTTTTTTTTTGGTTTTTCGAGACAGGGTTTCTCTGTATTGTTTTGGAGGCTGTCCTGGAACTCACTCTGTAGACCAGGCTGGCCTCGAACTCACAGAGATCCGCCTGCCTCTGCCTCCCGAGTGCTGGGATTAAAGGCGTGGGCCACCACCGCCCGGCTTGTCTCTTTGCCTCTAAATCACACACAGTGTCCTCTCTGTGATTGTTGTTCCCTTTCTGCTGCATTGCAAACCCGCGGAGAGCAGACACGATTTTGATCCTGGATCTAACAGGCAGGGCTGCCTCACTCAGAGTAGATACTTCTGAGCCCACAGGGTCCTATAGAATTAAGTAGATGGAGCATTGAAGGCAAGCTGGAAGACAATGTTTACACAAGACGTAAGCTATAGGATCTGAAACGGAGACAAAAAGTAGCCACGCTAAGGGGGAAAGTCATCAATTTGTCTGTTGAGTTGTATGAAAATGTCCTTGTGGTTTGGAGGGGAAAGCAAAGAAAAAAAAAAACAAATATAAAGGCAGTTAAACACTTTGACTTCTGAAACTAGATGGGGGGGGGCATAGGCCTCTGCAGATAAAGTTCATCCAAACAATCCAACATGACTTCTCAGTATAAACGGTTCCATGGTTTGGCTTGCTAGTATGACTGAGGCTGGAACACTCTTCCTTAGTTGGTGTTCAAAGTGGAAATGGTTTCTGTACCATCAAGTTCATCGGTGATGACACCTGATGCTCTCTCTTCAGGGAAGTCACCTAACAACTGTGTAATAAAGTGGGAAGGGACGTTTCAGGGAAGTCCGTGCTAAACCATCACTCATTCTAAGACAGCTCTGTAAGCCAAGAAGAAGCCATGCATGTCTTACGTATTTGTAAACGATCTGAAGATTATTGGGACATTTCCGATGAAAACTTTGTACTGCAATGCATATGTATTGGTCAGTGACTATGTGTGAGCTTGAGTAATAATTGTAGTTTTGGAAACCTAGGGGAATGTGCCTGAGAGTTATTATCACATTTTTTTGCAGGGTCTCACCGTGTAGCCTTGACTAGCCTGGGTTTCTTTATAGAGGAGATTAGCCTCACATTCATGGAGATCCACATGCTTCTGCCTCCCAAGTGCTAGGATTACAGGCGTGTGCCACCATGCCCTGCTGCCCCCAAGACTTTTTAAGCATCTGAGTTTTGAGCATACATTGATTCATAAGTCCGTCCATTTACTTGTGTGCTTAACTCTCTTCACTCCTGGCATTGGCCATCTCCTACGGCTGCAAGCAGGCTTTCCGGCTAGCACTGGTTCTCAAGGCACCTGCAACTTCCATGTATTTACAACAGAGCGCCTTCCTGGCCCCTTCCTGCAGTACCTGGACCAAGAGGAAATAACTACCTGACTAGACAGGTTCAAGGTCTAGAGAAGGTGGCTTAAGCTCAGTGGCAGCATTTTAGGGATGACAGGCTTGTCGCAGGACTGGGTGGGTGAGACTCCTGAGAGCAGTACAGGGATGGAGGCTCACGGCACGTGGCAAGCACGGGGGCCCCCACGGGGAAAACACGGGGGGGGCCGGATGGGGCAAGCATGGACCCCCCCACACAGGGCAGCACGTGGCAAGCACGGGGGGGGAGCACGGGGGCCCACACGGGGCAAACACGGGGGGGGGCGCGCATGGGGCAAGCACGGGGGCCCGCACGGGGCAGCACAGGGGCCCGCACGGGGGCAGCTAGCTCCTTTGTAGGCCTGAGGTCTGCAACAGGCTGGAGCGCCAGGGTGCCATTTCAGGCTGGAGGCTTGGTTCCTCGGCAGTGGGTGGAGGGGCATGGGTGCTCCAGAAAGACAGGCTTATGTTATGTGGGTTGGGATTACGGTTTGGATATGATACCCGGGAGGGTCCCCAGAGGTTCCTGTGTTGGAATCACACCCTGTTGTGTGGTGACATGAAGCAGCAGGATCTTTAAGAAGGGGATGGACCTAGTGGGTCCTGTGGGCTCGGAGTCTGTTGATTCTGATCTAGGACAAACTGGTTCACACAAGGGGGAACCGGTTCCACTATTATAAAAAGACTGAGTCTGCTCTCCCCACAGCCTCTGGCTTTCCTGTTCTACCTGTGCGGTCTGTTCGGCACAAGGTCCCACCTCTACGACATCACCTGCCAGGAGGCCCTGGCCACCGATAGCAGATGCCTGCAGCCTGACCTGAAATCTCCAGAACCGGCACGAGAGATAAATTAACTTCTTCTTAAAATAAAGTACCCAGCTCCAGGTAGTCTGTTATAGCAACACCAAATGGTTAAGACAGCTGGGCCGGAGGCAAAGAGCTGAGCATTGCGTTGGAGGGTGCTGATGAGAGGAAGGAGGTGGGCGGTGAGGGGGCGGGGTTACGTACAGAGAGCTCCCAGCTTAGGAGCAGGGAGAAGTGAAGAAGTGACAGTCTTTAGAATGCTCCCCGGGACGGAAACTGAGGTCGAAAGGAGGTGCTAGAAGCTTAAGGTCCACACGGCATCCGACCCGGTGCCAGGAGCCCGTGTAGAGGAGATGCGGTGATGTACTTGAGACCGGACTCTGTAGATCCCGGGAAATGTTGGAGACTGGATCGGGGCTATGATTCCTGCCTGGGGGAAGAGTTGAAGCCTAGAGCAGTAGAATACCAAGTGGAGTCTTCAAGGCGCTGCTGCGCTTTGGCTCAAGCTGGAAAGTGTCGTAGGGTCTGATCAGGTTGAGGAAAGTTGGGCCCTGCTCCCGGAGGGGCCGGGGAGGACCCCTCAGCTCTGGGTGTGAATATGTGCAGCTGCTCGGACCTTTTCTGGTCCTCCCAACAGGGAAGCTGAGGCATCATCTGGGGGTGCCGTCAGGTGGAAAGCTGGTGCTGCCCACCGCGCATGGTCATGGTGCGTGGTGAGCTCCATCTCCTGGGAAAGACACTGTGCATGTCTGTTGACAAGGTAGGCGCGCTGACTGCTTTACCCACATCAGGGCCCCCTTGGACAATGCCACCTCTGGGAGAGAACCCTACTGTGTGCACTCTCCTCTGGGAAGGCTTCACAAGGGTAGAGTAGACGTGGGAAGGGCGTGGGGGACAGCACTGATGAGCCACGTGCTCCTGGACCTGAAATGCCCTATCCAGAGGGCCCTCCCTGCCTTCTCTCTGGCTGCCTCTTTTACCCAGGATTGCTGTGGATTTCTTGGCTGCTAACGTCTGGCCAGAAGATTTGCTGGTGTATTGCTGGCTGTGCCTACCTTGGCTGTGTCTCATGTGGCTTCTCTGGGTCCATAGCTGAGTGAGATCTTCCAGGTTCTCTTAGCCTGTCTTCATTGTCATCCAGTGTTCCGCATCAGTCTTGGTGAAGCATTACACGAAGCTCGTGAGATACATGTGGGTCTCTCATACGGTTTCCAGATAAAAGTGATCAAAGTTTTTATAGTATAAGATGTGTCATTAGGATAGAGAAAATACATCTCCAATAGGCTCGGGAGCAACACTGGAATTGAGTGTCTGACAAACAGCTCTTGTACGTTTGTTTAAAAAACAAGCCTAATCCTGCATTTTTCCCGTCTTGAGTCTGGTCATCCATTCTGTTCATTCAGCCAAAGTTTGGTCCCTATACAGAACTAAATAAAACCTTGGCGTATTCCACTGATTACCACCAAGGGAAACTGAGCGATGGGAGGCTATCTCTTGAAAAATAAGGCTATTTCACTGAAAATGATAGCAATAAAATTTCCCTGAGGATTGTTTCAGATATGTTTGTGTTCTAATTAGAGAGCCGTAATTTAACCTGAGAAAGGAAAGAAATGAAACTAGGAAAGTAATGTGTGCATCTTAAGATCATTTTAATAAAACAGAGAGGAAGTGCATAGCCACTGAAGGAAATAGTCCCAAGACCCCAAGTGAGGAGATACAGTAATGAGGCCAATATTAATCTTATGTGAGGATCACAGGTGGCCTGTTCTTCCCCATGGCAGATCACGTGTGGGACTGTGGCCTGTTCTTCCCCATGGCAGATCACGTGTGGGACTGTGGCCTGTTCTTCCCATGGACCCGTGTCCACAGACATGATGGTCTGTCTATGAGTGCTTCAGAGGCCTTCATACGTGGCCTCTGTGACTGCTCTGTCAGGAGTTCCAGGGGCAGTGATTTCTTGCTACTTTCTGCATTAATGTTGCAGCCTCCCTCTCCCCCAGGGACTCTGGTAGGAGGAGATCAGCTGGAGATAAACCAGATCACCTGCATTTCTCTCACTGGTGTGACAGGAAGTGCTTTTAGGAAGGTGTGAGGGCAGGGATGCGGAATGTGACACGCACCAAACAGAGCAAATCAAGGGGTGCTGGTGCTCTGGTCTTAGCGGAATTCGCTCTGTAGAACAGGCTGGCCTTGAACTCACAGAGATCTGCCCGCCTCTGCCTCCTGACGGCTGGGATTAAAAACATGCACCACGCATGCTTGCTATGCTTTCTCCTTTTCATTCCTCTGGGGGCTTTAGGCGCAGGATAATACCACCTTCTTCTTGTTGGGGGACATTTGTACCCCTGTGTGAAAGTGCATCGCGGCCTTCGGTGTAATAAAAAGCTGAAACTTCCAATAGCTGTGCAGGAGAGTATAGGGGGGATTTCTAGGGAGAGAGAGGAAGAGGAGGAAGGATCTGGGTACCTGGGAGACGCCAGGAGACATGGAGATGAAGTGGGGTGCAAGACGGAAGGGGGTGACAGCGTGCGATCAAATGTAGATTACATGACGTGTGTTTCTCCCGTCAGCCTGGTCCCAGAGCTGCGTCAGTCCCAAATGAACACACTAGACGCTATGTCAATTATGATGCTATTGGCCATTTGTTATCGTTTCTCATTGGCTAGCTCTGACTCAGTTATTGACCCATAGTTACTAATATATATTTTTATAAGGATTTATCTTTCCAAGGACGCCCTCCTGATGTGTCCTTTCTTCCCGGGAGATCACATGGCGACCACTCTCTTAACTACATTTCCCAGAATCCTTCTAGACGCCTAGTCCCACCTATCTTGCTTCCATGTTGGCCAACAGCGCTTTATTGACATTAAACAGAAGGACATCTAATAATAGTCAAAACTTATAGTTAGGTTACTTATGTTTTCTAGATATACAGAGATGTATTTGAGATGGATAGATATTCTTCAAATCTTTCAAAGACCTTCAGAATATATGGCATTTTAATGGTTTAGGGTTTTTTTTTGACATGGAAAATGTCTGCTCCTGGCAGCACCAATCTATGTCAGAGAAGATAATGGGCATCGAAGAAACTCCTTATGGTGCTTACATTCAACATGGCAAAACTAGCCTTTTGCGCAAGAAATTGGTCTCACCTAGACTGTTTGACTGATGCTGTATAAAATGGACATGCAGGACCCACAGCAAAGTGACTTCTGAACTTGGACAGTCCTAAAGGGTTCCGGAAGAGTCTGCCAGACTTTCTACAGGACACAGAAAAATGATTTACAAATTGCCAATACAGATGGACAGTTTTAAATTTTTTGCTTTGCTGAGAAGTCTTCCAGACACACTGTGGCCTATGGGCTGAAGATGGATGCCCCAACGTTACAGAGGAATTTCTGGTGACTGTTCAGGTAGCGAGATGTCTCTTGTCAATTCTAGTGTTTACATATTATCCTTCTGTGATCTTTGGTGGAGTTGAAGACAGATAGTTACAGTTATAGCTTTCCTTAGTTATGATAAAAGATAATCTACATGTAAGATTTTAGACTCACACAGATAGGATAGATGATAAAATACTTTCTTTAGATCTTACTAAATGCTAATGGACAAAATATTGTAACCATAGTTCTTGCTTGATAACTGTTCTGTTATATATCATTTGACTATGTTAAAGTTAAAACCTTTGATTTTATTTAGACAGAAAAGAGGAGGTGATGGGGGAAGTCCTTCTGTGTATGTGTCAATAAAGCACTGTTGGCCAATAGGGAAGCAAGATAGGTGGGACTAGGCGTCTAGGAGGATTCTGGGAAATGTAGTTAAGAGAGTGGTCACCATGTGATTTCCCGGGAAGAAAGGACACGTCAGGAGGGCGTCCTTGGAAAGATAAGTCCTTATAAAAATATATGTTAGTAACTATGAGTCAATAACTGAGTCAGAGCTAGCCAATGAGAAATGATAGCAAATGACCAACAGCATCATAATTGATATATAGCGTCTTGTGTGTTCATTTGGGACTGACACGGCTCTGGGACCAGGCTAACCAGAAAAATACACATTACAAATATAGATGGGTTAATTTAAGTTATAAGATCCAGCTAGGAACAAGCATAAGCTACAGGCCGAGCTTTCATAATTAATACGAAGTCTTTGTGTCATTCCTCATTTTTTTTTTCTTTCAGGGTAGGTCCTCCTTACTCAGCTGATACCCTCACTGGTGACCTAGAGGCGTGTTTCCACTGGGATTCTAAGCCTGCTCAGGTTGACAATGAAGATTAATCATCGCAAACCTCCGGCAGGTTTGAAGGAGCTGTGCATCTCTCTCCGTGAGGCCTGCGATCCAGCCTTTCTTGAGAGTTTCTGTCCTAGGCGAGAACTCCTGAACCCTTGCTGATTCCCACCCCACATCCCATCAAAGCTCCCAGAATTGAAAGCAGCCCATGTGGTTCGTCTCCTAAGAACGACAAACACTAACAGGTACAAGGTCACCAGGTACCAAATGGAGGAGCACATAGGCAGGAAATCATCATAACAATTGAAGCGCCTACTAGGTGAATCATAGTAACAACTGTAAGTGCCTACTAGGTGCCACATGCCATTTATACTTCTCCTGTACAACCACACTACCAGAAAGCTCCCACTGCTCCCAGCTTTTAGAGAGGGTCTGAGGTCTGCAGCCACTAAGCAGCACACACAGCAGGTGTACCTGGCCTCAGGGAGCTGAAGCCCACCCGGATGAACTAGCTGTGGTCTTCCTGCCTCTTCTTTGACGGGGCATGTGATGGAAGACCCTCCACACATTTTTGGGAAGAAAGTTATACGTGCTGAGTTGGGTATGAAAAAGGCATCTGGAGTACAGCTGAAATGAGCTCGAAATAAAATAGTCAAGCAATAACAAAACCCAAAACAAAACAGAAGAGCCTTCCCTGAAAAGAATTGCAGATCCCAGACTGTGGGACTGTTGGATCCATTCTCTACTGGATAGCTGCATCCAAGCCACCAGATTAAATCTCATCAACATTGGTGCCGGAAAGTGACGGCTCTGCCTTACTCTGTGAGTGGAATAAGGTGTATTAAGTTTCAAAGGTTACGGGTATTTCAGATGTGGGGCTCATTCTTGGAGTCTGCTGTCCCCAGAGGCCTGGCAGCATCTTTCTGGTTTTGCCTGGCTCTGGCGGAACTCAGAGGCTAGAGCTCTGGGCTCACCTGTAGCATGAGGCTGACGCTATTATGACTCCCCCCTCCCCCAGGAGAAGTCATAAAAAGATGCAAACGCTGGTACACCCAATGTTGAAGGAGCCTGCTTATGCCTCCTGAGTCAGAATGGAAACTAAGCACACATAAAGGAGATCTGTGCCCAGGCCCAGCTTTTACTCTTAGAGTTTGCATTGATTCCCAAAGAGCCCTTGGTACAGAGATGAAGATAGAAAATCCCGATTCAATTCAGCTCGGTTTTTGCGTGCAAATATTCTTTTTCCTCGGAGGCTTTGTGTGCTTTTACATCCCGAGTGTTGAGCTGTACTTTAAAGCCTGGGGTGGGGGTGGGGGTGGGGGGATGAGCCCAGAGTGTGTAACCTTATGATTAATTCGAATACCCTTGGCTAGTGAATGCCTTTGAAGATGACTGTCCTTGAGGTAAGTAATACAGGCGTCAGAATCCATTGGGACTGAGAAAAAAAAAAAAAAAAAAAAAAAAGACCCAGCCGGGAGTGCTGTCACCAAAGCTTATCAGGTTGGGAGTTGGCTTTCCTGGAGGCACACCGCTGTCTCATCTCTGTGGGACCCCTGGAAGAGGCACGACAGAATTTGTACAGGCAAAGCCATCTTGTATTTGTTAACCGTGTCCAGATGTGACCTCTTCCAGGACAGTTGTCTGCTGTCCCACGTCTGCCTGTGGGTTCTTATGGTTCCTCGCCACCCATGGCTCTCTTCTCATTACGCAGAGAGCTGGGCTGGGCAAGCCTGGCCTCGGGAACATACCAGGATCCACCCATCCCTCATCTTAAGCATAAGCAAAATAAACCTGCTTTCTTTCCAGATCCTATACACCTCCAGTCTTTCAAGGACAAGGAGAATAACAGAGATGCTAGACCTCTCACCAAAATCAGTGAGCTAGGACCGGGAGAGCAGAGACCAAAACATTCTGCTGACCCTCAGCGTAGGCTGAGCCCACGGCATGGGGGAGATTTCAACATTTGCAAAACCAGAGGACTGTGTCTTCGGATATGATTGAAAATAGAATTCCATTTCTGAGCCCCGGAAGCAGAAGGACACTGATGGGTGTGGCCATCTCCAGTGTGTGTCTTTTGGGATGATCTGCACACCTTGGGCTTCTAGAATGCAACTTAAACCCTGTCCTCCCTCAAGCTGACAGCTGTTTTGGATGCCAGGGAAGTGCTGATCCCTGTACTTAGCAACGAATAGCCTAAGCTCTCAGCCCATGAAATCCAGGCTACTGGAAGCCCGGGACACAGACAGGAAACCCATGGGGCTCTTGCACTGTTTTAAGCTCTCCAGAGACACTGTCCTTTGCCTGTTTCCCATTGGACACACGGTCACATTTTTCAATGCATGCCAGTTTCTAGGAACAGGGAAATAGCATTTCCATCAAGACGCACAATTAGGAATATAAAACAGTATTTAAGGGCACAGCACGAGTCTTGAGTGTCCCTCAAAGATCCTCGCCTTAAAGGCTTGCTCTCTATAATAAATAAAACAATGGTCCATTTTTTCCAAAGGTGATGTGAGTCATCTCAGGTCGCATTACAGATGAACAGAAACACCGGACTCACGCTGCCTCCCACACTAAGCTAGTCTAGTCATCCCCCCAACCCAAACTGAAAGTAAGTTCAGAGTAAAATAACTAGCCTGCGATGTCACATATCTGATAAGCTTTAAAGTAAACAGGATGCAGAAGGTAGGGATGGACCCACACAGAGTCATTGTTAGGAATCAGGTAAACACGGGGAGCAGAAGGAAAGAGAAGACAAAGACAACGGGTAAGATAGTGACTCCCACCCCTGTCCCCCACCTATGACTCAGTCAGTGAAGAAAGGGAAGAAGGGACCAAATAAAACTGGTCGTAAAAACTTGTTTCTGTGTTTGATCAGCTTGATTCTGAGCTGAAGCATTGCCATGAAAAGAAAAAACAAAAAAACAAAAAACAAATAAAAAAACCCAAACAAAAAAACTGCCTCCTTTGGTGACTCTGAGTTTCCAGCGCTCTTATTATGAAATAACAGTCCATGTTTCTCACGGCCCCCAGTCAGTGGCACTACTGAGCATAATAGATCCTTCCAGAGTGGGACCTGGAGGGAGGAAGTAAGACATTCAAGTTATTTCCCATTGCTGCAGAGCCCACCATGGTAGGGAGGGCATGGCAGTCTGAACACGGCTGGTCACATGGTAGGGAGGGCATGGGCAGTCTGAGCATGGCTGGTCACATGGTAGGGAGGGCATGGGCAGTCTGAACATGGCTGGTCACATGGTAGGCACGGCATGGGCAGTCTGAGCATGGCTGGTCACATGGTAGGCACGGCATGGGCAGTCTGAGCACGAGGCAGCTGGTCACACTGAATTTTCAGCCAAGAAGCAGAGAGAGGTGGATTCTGGTGTTGAGCTCCCTTTTAATTCCGCCTGGGACCCCAGGCCGTGGAATGATGGTGCCACACACATTCCTCACAGGCATATCGAGAATTTTGTCTCCTAGGTTATTCTAGATGATGTCAAACTGACGGTATCATCCCACTCACGAGGCCACTGGGGAGGTGCCCTTCTAAGATACTGGGACCCCGGTCTCTCCCATTCCCTGTTGGTCTTCTGGCTGACAAGACATCAGTAGTCCCCTCTGCTACATACCCTCACTATGCTGTGCTGCATCTCTGATGACCCCGAATCCATGGGGTGAACTAACCGTGGACTGAAACCTCCCAGGCAGAGCTAAAGTTGGTCCCTCCTCCTTGAATCTTTTATCTCAAGTGTTTTCCACAGTGGCAGAAAAGTTGATGGACGCATATTCGTGAAACCCTACTCCATTTCCTGTCCCTCTTTATTTATGTCTGGGTCTGTCAACAACCATGATCCCAGTGGTCGTGCTGGACACAGAAGGAGTTCCCATGGTGGAAGGTTTTAGAATAGGAGCCAGTACAGCATGGATATCCAGAGTGAGTTTGGGTGCCTGATGCTGCCGAGCCCGACAGGCTCGCTCACTCTTCACTTGGCTTCTGCTTGTCCTGCGTGGCTTCTGGGAGCCATAGTGACTTCTGGGGCTTTCTGTGCTCTCATTCTGGGACCCAGACAGGTAAAGCAGGTCACTAGACAAGGGGGCAAACACATATAAGGGTCTCACCTCAGTCCATCACGTTCTGCGCAGCTGTTAGAGATATCCCAAGCCCAGACCTTTGCTATGTGGGGATTCCCATTACAAAAGGTCCAGAAAAGCCAATCTCTTATGAGCGGCAGGGAGCCCACAATGGACGTCGGTGGGCAGTGCTAACTGCTGTCATGGTTCATCTTTACCGTTAGCTGTTTTAGTTCCAGAAAACATCCGGCTGACGAAGCCTGTCCTAAAGGGAAGAAGGGACTTCCGGGTGTGCACCTGACATAGATGCTTCAAACCCTGAAGGAAATGAGGTCTCTTTTTGTTTCTTTCGTTCTGACTTCGAGCCCTCAACTCTGCTTTGGAGGAGTGGCGACCCTATAGAAGCTTGGCTAGATCAGCTGCAGCGAGAATTGCAGAGCAAGGGTCTGTCACACAGCTCAGTCTCAGGGCTGTGTCCGACGCTGTTTTGGGAAGTCCCAACTACCGCGTGTATTATTTATGGATCAAAGCCGCTCTCCTTCCTTCTGCCCCAGATGGGAACACAAAGACTCCATTGTGTCCCCTGGCAGTGGCTTGTGGGCTGATAGTTGATTTTATGCGGGTGAAAACAAGATCAAGAAAGACACAGAGTTTGCAGATTTACAAGAGAGTCTCCCCAGGAGCAGGTTCCACCCGTCATGCAGTGTGGGGTAACGAAGCTGCGGAAGATGTGGATTGTCTGCTTATAATTCTCCTAACCAGGGCAATCAAGGCCTCACGTCACTCTGGGCCAGGTAGCTGTCACAGGAAACCCAGTTGCCTTTCTTCCATCAGTCAGGTTTGTGCCCTGGAGAGGATGCCGTCTTCTCCAGGAGTAAGGGGAGGTTTGAGGAAAGAGTGACTCAGAGGAGGGAGGCTTTCTCAGGCCCTGCCAGGGTGGAGAGAGGAGGCAAGACGAGTGCTGGGGTGAGGTCAGAGAGGCAGCAGCAGAGACGGGTAGCAGTGAGACCCTCTGCACATTCATTCTCCACGCCACAGAAGGCCCGGCCGCTCTCAGTTAGCCGTCCCTGCTTTCTCCGCGTGTCTTGTCTAATCTGCATGACGGCCTAGCCAATACGGCGTGTCACGTCTCTCCCTTCCCTTTTGCTAGTGCCTTCTTTGGACTGTTGCCCGACCAGTAGCAACACATGAGATCCATTGATGACAGATCAACATCTGTAGGTGGTGGGTGGGGTTGATGGGATGGAGTGAGGGAAAGAGGGAGAGAGAGGAGGGGGTATACAGTGAATGGCTCCAAGGTAGTGTGCTGGGCCAAGGGAGTAAGGACAGCAGGGGAATGGTGACCGGCTCTGGGATGCTGCTCAGATCTGTTTTTAACACCTACTGCCCAGCGCACTCGCTATATGGCCTTAGGGGAACCTGGACCTTCCTTGGCGCTCCAAACTGAGCAGTATAAAGAGAGGCTGTTGGGGAGGATCCAAGGCATCAACACCAGAGGAGTGTGCTTGGAAAAGTTGCCCAGCATCTGTGGTCACGGATACTGTCATTAACTAAGTGGCCAAACCCCCCAGCTGCTCCGCTTCTTGGGCAGGAGAAAACGTGTGTGTGCTGCAGAGGGGACAGGGTCACAGAGCCGCTGGGCAGAGCTGGGAAGCCAGGGACGGGGCCAACCTTTTTTCATAGCTTCAAAATGCTTCCTCACCTTTGACCCTGGCGTGTCAAGGATGACTGGAAGCCTTGTGGAGCGCGGTCGTCTTGGCCGAGGGTGAATGAAGTCTTTAAGAAGCCATCCAGCTGGTTTTCCCCCATGGGGTGACTTTGGCTCCAGGGGCACTTCGTCCAAAGTCCTCAGGCTGCACGGCCAGCCGGCGTCATCCCCACACTGCTTCCTCTGTGCCCATTCGCTGATCCACTTAGAAAATGACCACCGAGCACCTACTGCGTGCAAGAGTGCGGTTCTGGGTTTGCCGCCTCACCTTTCTCTGCTGAGGCCTTTCATTAAAAAAAAAAAAAGTTTGGCTGTCTGCTCTGCAGTCGGATTTGGGTTTGGCAAGCGTGCTCTGAGAAGCTTCCAGAACGGCGCTGGAGGTGACAGTGGGTGATTTCTGACATGGCTGTTCCCCTTCCTTCTTTCCAACTCTAGCTCCCAACGTATCTCCTTAATTCTAGACCTGGTGAATGTTCCTGTTCCAGAAGTCAGACTTGAATATCCCATTGAGATCAAGCGACAGTCTGGCTGTGGTCAGAAAGAGTGGCTGCCCTGTTGGGAGGGACGGAGGCCAACACTGGGCATGGGGGCCTGACAGGCTGCTGCCATACACAGCGTACCTACCAGGCACCTCTGAGGACCGTGACAGTCCAGTTGTATTTATGAGCTGATCTGAAGCAGGGGGGTAAATAAACCTCAATACAGGTGGGCTCCCTCACTTTGGGTCATTATTGCTTGGGCTGTGCCCTGATATGCTTTTCCATCTCCAGAGCAGAAGAGTAGGCAGAAGCACCAGGATCAGAGGAAGAGCTCATTTATACTTGGTCCAGGGACAGGGTTAGCCCAGACACAGCTCCAAGGGTCTGGAAACCGGGAGACGCAACTGTCCTTGGAGTTGAAGCGGAACCACGAAATTGCCACAAGCCATCTATCTGTTCTGTGCCAGGAAATCCACAGCAAGTGGTAACAGAGCGTTGAGGGGTTTCCCTTCCAGCCTGGTCCCACAGCTGATTTGCCCCCCAAATAAGCACACAGAGACATGTATTAATTTATAAACTGTTGGCCGATGGCTAATGCTTCTTACTGGCTATCTCTGAATTGTTAACATGTAACTACTGATCTATGTATTTCTACATAGCCTTATCTTACCAGAGAATGCATGGTGAGCTCTATCTTCCCGGTCTCTACACGGTGTCTCCTCACTGCCCCTTCTCTCCAGGTTTCCCCTGGCCTGGTAACCGCCTGCCTATCTTCCTATCTGGCCATTGGCCAAACTGTTTTACTCATCAACCAGTAAGAGAAACACACACACACACACACACTGAGCCTTTTATACATGCCCACCTGCATTGTGAATGTCCCTATATTGAACCTTGTTGTTGGTGGGGTTTTTTTTACTCTTTTGGGGGGCCCACCACCCAGTTCCCAAATAAATACAGTGGCTTATTCGTATTTATTAATGCCTGGCCTTAGCTTGGCTTGTTTCTAGCCAAGCTTTTCCTAAATCATCGCATCTGCCTTTTGCCTCTGGGCTTTTTACCTTTCTCTACCCTATATGCCTCTCTTTCCTTCTTACTCTGTGGCTGGTTGAGTGACGGAGTGGCTGGTCCCTGGCGCCCTCCTCCCTCCTCTCCTCCTCCTTTTCCCACTCCTCCCTCCTCTGTTTATTCTCTCTGCCTGCCAGCCCCGCCTGTTTCTCTCTCCTGCCTAGCTATTGGCCGTTCAGCTCTTTATTAAGACCAATCAGGCGTTTTTAGGCAGGCAAAGTAACACAGCTTCACAGGGTTAAACAAATACAGCGTAGAAGAACGCAACTCATCTTTGCATCATTAAACAAATATTCCACGGCATAAACTAACGCAAAGCGTCTTAAACTAATGTTCCACATAGGAACCTGACACTGGGTTGACCATGCCACGTTTCTGCTCTGCCTTCTCCTGGGCCCCTCATCCTCGTTCTCATTTACCATCTCAGACAGACTGCGGAACTCTGCCTTCTCTGTCCCTCTCCCCTGGATCCTGTCCCTCCGTCCTGGGTCTGCCCCTCTCCCTTAGCTCTTTCTGATCCATATACAGAAGTGCTGTGATCTCTTAATCCCCCAAACAGATCGTGAGCTCCGTTTTGGCCTCATCCCCTCTCCTATCAGTAGTGCCAGGTCATGGTGACCTC